GCTGTTCTTGATGAGCAGGAGTGAGAGCAAAAGGTTGTGAGTAAATTGTACATGTACTTTTGGCCTTGGTCTTTATTTGTTTATTCCTCAGGAGGGCAGGCATAGGTGATCAGAGGTCCGGTGCCCATTCTCCAGTTCCTATGGATAACGGACTATGAGTTGGGCACCTTTTCGTGGCTCTAGCTAAGCAGCAGTATACCACAGCTTTGTCCCTCTGCTCTCGGTCCCTCTAAGCCAATTCCCTCAAGCGTGGAAAAGGATCTGCCTCTTCATCTCAGCTGCAGTTAATTTTATTGCCGCTGTTGTCTGTGTTAGGCTGACCTACCGTAGCATGCCACAGACCTTGGTGCTTTTTCACATCTGTTTGCTCAGCTAGAAAACCTACCCAGGAGTTTCCTGAGTGCCTGTTGCAATATAACCTGGTATTTTGGAGTCTAGAAATGCCTGTGAACTCCTCGGATCGCTTCTTCCCACTGACAAAGTATTGTTTTGCGATCCATCTGGTGTCAAGTGTAGGCATATGGCACCAGTATGGCAGCGCTGCCTACGGGGGTGGTTTCCTGCAGAAGAGGTCTCGCTGAACGCAGTAGTCGTTGCCTGTTGAAAGTCGTTATTGTTTAGCACCCAGGTCTTTGTGAACTTGTTCAACTGGTGGCTGGGCAGGATGCCATCCGCGTCGACGGACGCGAGCACAGACAGCTGAGCCTCTGGGGCCTCACACACATCAGATGTGGGTACTGAGGTCAGGCTTCTCGGTGAGGGGAATCCGAGCGACTGTCTGTCCCCGAGCATGTGTATCTGTGGTTGAAGGGATACGCCACCATTAATCCAAAACCTGGGCCGGATTAAGCTTCTAAAATAAAAACCAGCTCTGCCAGCCACTTGAAGAGGGCTCGGGGCCTGTTTGAGTCGAGCGCATCAGCGGGGAGGGAGGGAGAGGAGGCCGAGGCGGCCGAGCAAAGCCACCACCCCCACGCCCCCGCAGCGCTTCTCGGGGACGAGCTGACAGCTGCCGAAACGGGTCGGTCCCGTCGGCTGCAGGCCTCTCCGCGGCTGGGCAGCACCTCGGGGTCCGAGGCCAGCCCCCTCTTGGCCGTGACAAGAGCACGGGCGTTTCACGCTTTGTTTCTTAATCACCTCCTCAGCGCGGTTCTTGTGGCCGCCGGGAGCTTTAGCATTCGGGGAGCGGGGTCGTCCCTGCCCCAAAGATCTCGAGTTTGCCAGCCTGGGCCTGGCTGTCCCTTTGGCCTGGGCGGTGCTCCCACCCGGAGCTAATTCGGCCTCGCTCCTCTGGCCCTCCGAGAGCTGCTCACCTCCACGGACGGGCAGAGCACGCGCGGGGGATGAGGCAGCAGCACCAGCGTGGTGGCACCCACCAGCAAGCCATCGCCAAGATAGAGGAGTAGAACATCTGGGCGGAAGATCACAAAGGCAGAAGCACCAGAAATACTTCAGCAGGGTTGCTGAGAAAGCTAAGGAGAGACAGAGAAAGCTAAACCCAGCAGACGGTATTTGCACAGAGGGAGAAAACCCCAGAGCACTAAGCTGGAGTGAATTGTGAGACGATTCACCGCACGAAGTGATTCAGCGGAATGAAGGTGACCAAACACGGGGGTTTGCCTGTCCCTTGCAGGCACAGGTGCTCTGGGGCACCCATAAAAAGGTAACGCTGGGAACCTCCTGTCCTAAATGTCGCTTTTACACTGTGGACACTAAACTGGCTGTGGAGTTGCCTTCTGACGTGATCCCTCTTGGGTTTCTTTATGCCTTGTTGCCACGTGCTGTGAAACTGGCTGCTTCTGTCCTCTGCAACGGGTAACTACGCGCCGACGGCACATGAAATATGCCTAACCGAAAAACGGGGAAGCTTTACCGTCGTTATTGGGAAGTGCCGTGAGATCTGTCCCTGGAAAGGTGCGGTAGAAGCGCAGAGGGATGTGCTGTCATTTTAAAACCCAACGGTGCGCTGGTTCCTCCCCCCTTTGAAGTCAGTGGCCAAACCTCCGTTTTAGAGGAGGAAGACGGCTTGGATCGGCAGAGAAGAGGCAGCCTGGAGGCAGGAGAGGCTTACAGGGAACGGTTGCTGCTGCTCCCCTTGAGCACGGAGCTGTTCAGACAGACTGGAGACCTGTCTGCCGCTCTCTCCCATTAAGGCTACGAAATGAATGCTTTTAAAGTTGTTAGATGAGTGGGCCGGATCTTACAGCCCTTACTCATCTGAGCACCGCCATTAACTTTAAGAAAATAATCACTATTAAGTGCTACGGATTGGAGTCCTTAAATTGTTAAATTCTCCTATTTGACAGAAGTTTCTCCTCAGTAGAAAGATAATATTGACAGAAGGATGTGAACATTCCATCCGTTGAAGAACGCAAGTTACTCTGGAGCGGTATGTAAAACCAGAAGCAGCGCAGAGGGCTTCAGGCCGTGTCATGCCTGTAGGTTATTTTTGGACTGTATGAAAAACACACTTTAGCAGTTTATATCCTGACCATTCAACCGTATTCTGGGATTCTGAATTCGAAAACATGCTAACCATGAAAACACAGCATTTAAAAATAACACTGTCCACTTGGCTTCTTCGCCCTGCTTCAGAGTCTCCCAAGTTTGTTTCGGACCAACTGAGAACTTTGTTGTGGAGGGACTGTTTGAATTGGGGTTTCTTAAAATACATGTGGAGCCTCGTAGCTGCTGCGGGGTGTGCACAGCAGTGGGGCTGTACTATTTTAGAATCATCTGGCTATTTTCCTTCATGTAAGGATATCTGTCAGCTTAGTTATAAGGAACGAGAGGGGTTGATTAAAACAACTCACGAAGCCATTAAACAAAGAGATAAAATGTAGAACATGTGCTGTAGGGTCGTTTTAATTATAATGGATGGGGGATCTGTGGAAACCGGCTGGCAGCTGCATTGTAACTGAGTTTTAAGCCCCTCTTAGAAGTCCTGTTACTCAGACGTGGGTTTTCTTACCTGTAAAGCTAATAGGTCCTTTGGAAATGGTGTTTGGGAGCTACCTTTTGTTGCTGGGACTGACCATGGGGTAATTGCTACACTCAAGCGCTTAGATAGATATGGACTCAGATAGGCAGTTACGTATAGCAATCATCTAGTCAGTAGGTACTAGACTGTGTAACGTCAGAGAGACGTATGCAAAAGCTTTAGTCAAGAAGGGATGCCAAGGGGACGGCCACGAGAATCCAGGGACAACAGAAAAAAAGGTGGTGGCAGCTGATTTCGTTGTCTTGGTGATCTTACTGGGTCAAAAAACCTGTACTGAATATGCTGCTGTATGCTGTAAGTGGATCTACGAAGTTAATTTAGCATATAATCAGGCTTTAAAGAACAGATAACAGGCAGTCACGTGAACTCAGTAAAAACTGTTAAAACTTCACATTTTGCTTTATTCTTATTAACCTGGTTTTAGACATCAACAGTTAGCATAATTAATTCTAGCCCCATCAGAAGGGGTTTTAAATCTGTGGTGTAAGACTTTAAACCAGTCTCTGGGTACCAGAAATCAGGATAAGGAGCAATAAGGAAAGAAGACAACACATCTGCCCACGTCAGGGTTTTTGCAACTCCATCCACTCCTGCCAGAACAGGGTGGTCAGCTAGGTGGGCGTTAGGTCTAGTTCAGCTTGGCAGCTCCTGTGTTCCCAGTTCCACAAAGTTTACTTAAATGTCTGCAACGATTTTTAGGCAACCAAAACATGGTAATTCAGTTAACCCTTTGTCGTTGAGTAGAACAGGCTCACACCTAGGAACATCACCAATTCAAAATATCCAGTCATTAAGCTCTAACAAAGATTTGTTACCAAAACTCATTGGAAACAGCCAAAAAATGAATTTTTAAGAATGTGACCACTAACAGTGAATTTAACTTTCTGACTGTGATTGCCGCAGCAGTTCAAGTCGTGCGCCGTGGCTTGTAAAGCGTCACTAGAACTGCCCGTGAAAAAATGGCGTTTGCTTCTGTTTGCAAACTGTCTTTATTAGCATGTGAATTCTCAGGAAATCACAGAAATGATGTAACTTTTGCTTTCCAATTTGCATAAAACAAAGACATAACATCCAGGATCGATTATCTAAAAATGGGAAATAGTTCCTTAGAGAGAGGATGGGGGACTTGAAGGAGTGACAGCCTGTTGCTCTTGGCTGTAGCATGTTGGCACATGACGTTTCTAGGGGCTGTTCCCTCGAGGACTTCAGAAGTTGTATGTTATTTTACCGAGGCTGGAAGGCAGTAGTTGGGATAGGTACCCATCTCCATCCTGGCTTGTGGGGCACTCTACCAGATAGCCAAGGTAACCCATCCGGCTCCTCAGCACCCCCAGCTAAAGAAAATGCACAGAGGCACCTCAGCTGTCATTAAAATGAGGAAAATCTCATTTCTGCTCAAGCAGTGCAAGGGGCAGTGTGGTTCCCTCTGCTGTGAGAAGAGGACGTCTCTGTAGGAGAGAAATCAGTCCTGGATCCAACAACGAGGCGCAGCTCGTCAGCTGATGCTCTCAAAGCTGCGCACCTCGAGGTCACCTTTGGAGGGCGTCTCACAAACTCGCCTCAAATTGTTTGAGAGTGAAAAGCTGGAGGAGCAACAGGGGACGAGCTCTCCCTGATGGGGAATCGCGGGCCAGGATGACAGCCTCTCTTGGGTGGCTGTCTGGTTACTGGAAGTTCTCACTTTTGGAAATGAAATTGAGCACTTTTCCGTCGCTGTCAGGGAGAGCTTACCTCAGGTTTTTAGCATCAAGCTAAGACTCGTCCTATGGTGCGTATTTTCCCTAGGAGCAATGGAACTACGCGTTTTAGGGTCAAAATTAGCTCTTTGCATGTGTCCCGTTGGCTTTAGCAGAATTACTGGTGTGCAAGGAATACGAATAGAGCTCATACAGTGATTTCTAAAATACAAAATGCTAATTGCAATACTCTTCCTTAAGGAGAGAACTGAAGATGACTGACCGTGTAACCCCTCTCTTCTTCTCTACCTGTTTCACTCCAGTCCTCCGTGATGTCTGTCTGCTTTGCCCGCTTTCACCCGAACCTGGTCGTCGGTGGAACGTACTCTGGCCAAATTGTCCTGTGGGATAACCGCAGCCACAGGCGCACTCCGGTTCAGAGAACTCCCTTATCTGCTGCTGCTCACACGGTAAGGGTGAAAATCACCTCCTCCTTTCCTTAGAGGAAACGGTCAGCAGGGAAGCGGAGCTGTCTAGTTGTGTCTACAATGCTGGTTGCCACACAAGTGGAAACATAAGTGTGAGCTTTGAAGGGCAAGAGAGATGTACGGCCATCTCCTGGAAGTGCTGGACCATCACACTTCGTATGGTCAGGTCAGATTATCCTCCTTTCCAAGGAAGAGGGGGCAACACTCGAGTGAGGCGCCTCTGTGCCAGCACAGTGCCACTGTCGCTCTTGCTCTCCACTGCCCATAAAGAGCCAGGTCACTGCAGGGACTGCGTGTCTGGCAGTCCAGCACGGCAGGCCGTTTGAATCATTTCTTGTTGACTCGTTGTACACGAGTTTCTCTTTTGAACCGGATTACGGTGGTCTCAGCGGGGCCCTGTGGGTAGGCACTGGTGCCCTTGAAGAGCGTGAGGCCGTTTCCTTCTGTTTTCCAGTAGAGCAACACATAAATGCTTGTCATGGTCTCCTACTCCAGACAGGGCCATGGGGCAGAGCTTGCACAGCGAGGGGGGGTTTGTTTCCGTCGAGTGATGTGGAAGAGCATTTGCCGACACACTGCAGGTACAGTGATGGTGGCACAGGGCTCTGGTGATGTCCGGGAGATACACAGGCGGAGCAGTAGCACAAAATACCCGAGAAGAGAGTTTCTCTGCGACACAAAGAGGATGTCTGTGGTAGAAAACTCTCTCCCATTGCAAAGCACTCATATTGTGCTGGAGGAAGAGGCACGCCT